TATATATATATATATATATGTATGAAAATAATACTAATACATTATAAAAAGTTATTTATAATTAAAATTAAGAAATGTTTTTAATGTATAAGCTATATTATATTTGAAATTCACAAGAAATAAATTTATAAACTAAGATTTTGAATTTATAATTAATGATTTAAGTTTTGATATAAATTATTTTTAATTATCGATAGTTTTTAAAAACTATTACAATTCAATTACAAAATAGAGATGAAATATAGTGAACTAAAAGGACAAACGATTAAAAATTCATTTTAATTGATATAATTTGACATAATTGAGAGAGATTTTTATAAAAATTGTAAAAGTAGTGTGTAAAATTCATATTCAAAGAAAAGAAGAAGAAGAAGAATATTACACAAGTATCTATTAAAAGAATGAAAATAATCATACTAAAATAAACTGGTGGGAAAAATATTTATATTAATAAATTAATTATTTTTACCATATTTCAAAATATAAGGAACATTTATTATTATAAATGTATATTATATTTACAAATGAAAAAAAAAAAGTTATTGGAGGCACTTGGAAGGGTATCCTTTGAAGGCCTGCTCACAAGCTTGCTTTGAAATGTTCCCATGTGACTTTCTACTAAAACGAAGCTACAGTTTTGGTGGCTAGCTAAAGCTTAGAATATGAAGATAGTGATAGAGCATTGCATCGCTTTGTAGTGTTGCTCAGTGATTTCTGAAATCTAACGCCAAGGGCAACTCAATTCTATCTTCACAAATTACCTGATACTGACTTATCAATAGCTTGCACATGCCAGTCCCTTTGCACTGTTTTGTTTTACATTATTAGAGGACAAACTTCACAATAACTTATGAGCTATATATAGAGTGTGGTAGATAATACACTATATAAGATCTGCAGTATGTATAAGACCATACTTTACATTGTTTTAATTATTATAAGAAGTCATAATGATGTGATTTTACATCATTATGTAACTAATTAAATTCATTACATTTTTACAATATTCATCATTTGCATGAATTGTAAGCAAAAGTAACTTATTAGGTAAGAAGCATTATGAAAACAAAAGGTTCGATAGTAATAATAACATTAAGATGAAGACCTCGATAGTGGATCACGAGTTTGGACCACAAATTGAAGGGTTGTTGTCAAGGCCTAATTAAAGGGAAAAAGGTCTATGGCTTTTGTCTACAGCCAATTTGCCTGTGTTTGAGTCTCCATCCGTTTCTTTCATTGACCAGGCATGCTTATATTTATCAGAGAAAAACAAAACAGATCATTCCCAGAATCATAGATACTTTTTTCTCTTTCAGATATCCATCCCCCTTGAGAACCAATCTTGTTTGAGGTATATTGGAAACTAAATGTGAGTATATGTTTAAATAAAGATTTGAACCTTATTCGCCACATTGTGCAGGACTATCCCTTCTATTTCAACTTATTTTCATGGCTCATTAGAATGATCATTGTGAATGGAGATAAAAAAGAATAAAAGTAAAGGAATGAAATGATTTGAACACCTCTAATGTAGTGGAATTGTTGGCCACAAGTCTCTCATGTTTTCCCATGAAATTTGTGACCCACAGAAAATTAATTCATTCAGATAATAGCAATTGTTCTTATTAAGTCCCTTTAGATCATAATACGTGTACTTGAGTGTCTTCTTTTATGCTCCTCTAATGCGAGAGAAAGAATTCTCTCGTGTGTCGTAACATTGAGTTGTTGTTCATGTTGTAGGAGGGTCATGGAAAAAGACTTGTTAGGTACTTGGCAATCGTTTTGTCATTAGTACATTGCTTCTCACTATAGCATGTGTTTCATTTAACCCCATAAGGAATTTCCCAAGCTTCTTCTCCACCCTTTCATTGAATTTCTCCAACTCAGCACATGTGCAAGTGATTGGTTCCCAATAAGAGACTAATTCTTCCCATAAAGATTGCTTCCTATTGTAGTAGATTGAGATTAAATATGTACCTTATCAGCATTCAACAAGTTTTTGTTGGATTTGGTAAATTCTTGATTCATTACTCTGTGAAAATCGATCAAAAAAAATCTTTCGCATGTGATTGTCCATGTAAAAAACGTTAGACGCAATCTCTAAGCATATATGCTATTCAATATCTTGGACAACACCATGTGGTTACAATGTTGCCATGAATGGAAGGTTTTGTTTATGGATGACAGCTTATTGATGGATCCGTCAATTAGTCTGATATTGTTATTTACATTAAGGAACAATACAGAAATTATATACGACCTATTACGAATTCTGGTAAGTAGGTCAAAACAGTCATGCATGTAATATGTTTAAACAACAATCACAAATATTACAAATACTCCAATTCCTATACTTTAATAATTTGGTTTCCCAGTTTCCGTTGATAAAGAAGATAAATGTAACAAAGAATTAAAATCTAGAAGATTAAGATAAATATAAAAATAAGGTCACAAACCAAATCTTAATTTAAAAGATGAAAGAACTAATTTACATTTAAAAGACATGCAATTGTATTTGGCTTGGTCAATTGACCGCTCTTGGAAACTAGTAAACTACCATTCACATGATTTAGCTTGGATTGTTAATGTATGTCAAATCTAATATTTATTGTTCTATGAAATAAAAAAATTATCGCATGTCTTGGATGAAATGCTAACCATCTTAAATGCAAATCCAAATCCATCACAGTTAGCTTTATTCCATCTTCCCGTAACTTACTCAAATCCTCACTCATACGTCTCATGAGTTAAAAAGAGTAATCTCATACTACCTAATTTTAAATGAAATTTATACTTGACGTCCCTTTCTTTTCTTTTATTACTTTTAACATTTCTTAATCTATATAATACTACTAATATTATGTAAATTAAAAGAGATTTGTATAAGGTCAAAAAGGAAAAAAGAAATCAAGAAAAAAAATTTCCTTTCAAACTCACGCTGTGAGGAGAACCGATAAAACGCTGATAGTAATTTGCCCAAAAGATTATGATCCCTTTATTCATCTTTTGATGAAATTAACACTGTCCTACTCGATTGACTTTACAGGGAAACTATCTAAAGAAGAAATATGATATCAGGCACAAAATTTCTTAGTACCGACTATTTCTGCCACTAAATCATTTAATATCAATCTCTCAACTTCCCTGCCTATTATATCAATGTCATCTCTCAACTCCAACCACTCCGATTCCATAACCAGCACCTTCCCTAGAGCGTCATCCTTCACTTTTTCTTGGCTCTCTAGCATCCTGCAAAGACCATCTCGGAAACCGTTCTTGATCAAACTAGAACCAATCATATGTGAGGTGGCTGGACCCACCCATGGTAGTGCATTAGTGGATTGTTGATTGATCTTGACAATTCCCAAATTTATACGGTCAAAAAGCAATCTCCTTTGAGACTTTGAGCAAGTAGTCAAATCATTATACCTCTTTTCAAGATCATCAAACACCGAAAGACTCACAGGGCATTCTAGGGAATGCCAAAGGTCCAAAATTGTGTCGGGATGAACTCCATCAATGCCGGATTCAGACAACACGTCGATAATGTAGGAAGTCTCCCAGTTATCTTCAGTTCTACGTAATCCACTGTCTTCGAACATTCCAGTAGATACTTCCACGCCATCTTCATCACTTAGTATCATGGGTCCCTCCACATATTCTTCGGATCCTGACTTCAGCAACTGGAGTTGCATTCGCAGCCCTATCAGCAATAAAAGGCTCATTAGAAGAAAGGCATGAGTCTCAAACTACTCGAATGCTCAGGAGAAAGCTGTTTAATCCTTAAAATACCATTTCATCGGTATAAGCTCATAAGATAATTTTGTGTTGATGATTTATCGTGTCTAACTATTCAATTCAGGTCACAATTATCACACATATTATGATTAGCAAGAGATTGTTAACATGGCGGGCAAAGATTAATGAGATAATTATAGCAGTTCTAACTCACATTAGGAAGGTTATAACTAAATGCAATCATGTCATTATTAAATCATCAAATGTAACTTCAATTCACTAAATAGAAAATTCCATTCACGCCAAAAATCGAATAACTGAAAAAAAAAAAAAAAAAAAAAAAAAAAAAACACCCCCCCTATTTTTT